ATTAGACGTGCTTCCTAATGCCACTGTTTACTGAAGTTTACCGCAATCCTGCTGTAATGAAAAGCAATCGATAACCGGCCAAAGTGTGACTAAGTTGAAGCAAGCTCTGAATGATACCTAAAAGAATTGCGAAAGACATCAAGACAAAAACTTAGTTACAATTATACAGCACATATTTTTGGGACACACGGCCCTTGCTGAAAGTTGTATTATATTTTCCCGAGCATATACCCTTCCATTTGAATTTGCTCGAGCGAAACATTTAAGCGAAAGCCGAGGCCTTATCAAATTTATGCTATCCTTTGATTCACAAAAAAATCTGCCGAGCCATTGATCATACTTCCGAAAGTTTCAGCTAACCGCGAGGTGCCTTCAAGAGTTAGAGGGTACCAAAAGCTTTCTGATAAAATACATGAAGGCAGTAAGCAAAAGCAATGTGTAGTCGAGGCGATCTCATCCCGAGAGAGATTCCTTCCACATTACTCTAAACAGAAAAAGCTCTTCAGCTATCTCATTTTCTCTCTAAAAATTTCATTATCAGGGATGTCTTCAGATATGGCAATGGGCTTCAGAAAACAGGTGATAAAATTCCACTTCAAACTCCAGTTGAATCTTATGTTTGCTATGTTTGGTTTTTGAACCTTTTCTCTACACTTCCTTCTCTTTTACGTGAAGGTTGTACAAATGCGACCCAACACGATGATTATCAACCTGCTGTGCCGATATGAGGCTCATGGCCTCAAGTTCTCAAACCGTATCTTTTATGTTCAACTAACATGGACGTGAACTAATCTTGCAACATATCATCATTTATTATGTACGTGAAACATAAGTGAACTATATACACGTTTTGTTCGTTCATTTCCATGAACTAGAAGTTTATATTAGAGATTCGAGAGTGCGATCAGTAGTACGCCAATGATACCCACTCCGATAGCACCAGCTAAGAAAAGCAGATTGTTTCGGCCCTGAAAAAAAATAGTACCATGTACTGGACCCAGATAAAATTAACGAATAGCTTGCCGCGATTGACTTGAATATAACGACGTCGGCGATAGCACTGATAATGGCAGGCAACTGGATATGAATTATTTTGAAAGGAATTATGGGTTCAAAAGGCTTACTCGCGTCGTAATGGGATAGGCGACAACTTGCGAAAGCTTGTGACTGGATAAGAACCAAAAAGTCATTCCCGAGGACCATAGAAGTCCGTACAATGCAGATGGAATTACTAGCTCACGAGCAACATAGGCTTTCTCACGACGTATCGCACAGTACAGGAAAAAGTAAAGAGTTGAAAATACAAAGACCGTTGAATAGAATGACCAAATATAATCGAACACTAAAATGTTAATATGTTAATTCAATTTTAATGTGGTTCCATGTTCACCTCTGTATTCATCATTGGATGGTTGACGTTGTTGTAGTACCTCTAGCGGTGTCATCATTAATCCGTGAAGAACAGCGAGCACGCATGTCATGAGAACATACCTATATTTGCACCATCAAGACTATTTGCGAGATGTGTTGATAATATGCTGAAAATTGCATTGCAAAAGTGCATGATTAGTTTGTGTGACCTTTCTTCGGTCTTGCTT